CTTTGCGAGGGCCATGAAAATTCGCTAAATGGCACGCCTCGAATTCTAAGTATTTTAAAGGAAATAATTAAATGAGGGCCACGCATTTGAGGTTTTATTTGGCGCGGCACACCTTAATTCTATTTTTAAAGGATGTCCTAACTAAAATTCGGAGAGCCATAACTATTTTGTGATATCTAATATGGCTCACCTCCAATCTAGTTTTGAGATGGTCTAGCTTAAAGGAAGATCCCCAAAAGAATTCAATGGATTTTTTTATGTTAAAGCCTAATCTCCAACTGAATAAATGAGCAATGTCCAAGTCTCTTTTCTTTAGCCGAGCCAAATGAAGTGTTGTGGCTAGGGGAAAGGGGCCGTCGACCTTAAAGTCATGGGCCACCATCTTCATGGCAAGACCGCCTTGAACAGCAAAGCAACCAAATGAAGGGAGCTCGGGATCGAATCCCTTCGACGGCAAAACATAAGCAGCAAGAAATCGAGACATGGAAGAATGGACAAGTAATTCGATCAGATATCCCCAAAGCAAACATTTATTAGTTCATTATGCCTGATATTAACCTATTAACCAATTTTTACAAACCAATGTGTGACTCTTACTTTATTTAAAATCTTGGCTTAACCTACGTGAACAATAAATGGAGTTCTAATCATGGAAAACATGCTCAGTCTAACTTTAAACCTGTATCACAGTGAGTCATGCACTATTGATTTTAGCCCATCACAGAAGCTTTGACATATCTAAACAAATCCAACACTCATTCTCGAACCAATGCATTTATCCAATTTACCCTAAACCCAAAGATTTATACCAATCAGAATAATAATCATAAACCTTAGTCCCAAAAGCAAGCAGTCAACCCCTTTTAATCGAATGCACTCTAATTCTAAAAAAAAACTAAATGATAAGCTAGGGATCAAAACAAAGGAGTCTAAACACATGCTTAAATATATGCATAACAAACAGTGAATGGCTTAAATCACAGTCCCTATACACGATATCTCAGATGTCCTGAACTACTTACATACCAACCAAACCATCAGATCATGTGTTTTCATCACAAACAAAATACAGCATGAGTTTTCTAGGGAATAACACACTACTGCTATATTAAAGTGAACAGGTCAGGCTAAATATTATTACACTACATCAATAGCTTCAGAAATTCCAAGTGAAAAGCTAGCATTGATGATTAAGGAAAAACAGTATTCACTCATTCATGGAATCTTCATGCAATTACAGCTTTCATACTTGCATCTCATCTTCTATAGGATCAGGGAATACCTGGTACAGCAAATAAACAAGGAAAATCTGAGGTTAAGAAGGATCAAGCAGCAGTAACCCAGCAACAGCAATTCCAGCAATTAAAACCCCAGAAAATCAACTCAAAACCCAATGAAAAATTAACCCCAACCAGCTTGTATCAAAAACTTTCAACAATCAATCCATTTTTTAATATCAGGATCGGAATTGTGTTTTTCAGATATCAAATAAACCACTGAAGTTTCAATGGAACAGTAGAACTTTTTCTTGTATTTTCTGGATTTCTAGCTCTTAGGATTCTTAGGTCTGCCTTCTAAGGCAAGAAAAGGGTGCCTTTATAGGCAAGCAAATAGGGCAACCTTTCAGATTTTATTTTACCCCTTAGGTCCCTGATTTTATGACTTGTTTGCCAAGTTAAATCTGAAATTCCCTGGAAGACCCCTACTAGAAGCTTCTAAAACAGTTACCAAAGATTCCCCCCTTTCCCATTTCCTAAACTACCCCCCCAAGTGCCCTGTTTTTACTTTGCCGGACCAGACTGGGTCAAATTGACCCAAGGCAATATCCAATCAGGACCTAATGAACTGGCCATAGTCCAATGTTCAATTTGGGCTTTCTGATTTCAAAGTCCAACAGAAATTCCCCACTTGAGACTAAAACTGATTCAATTTCCTCAATAGAAAAAAAAGAAAGGAAAAAGAAAGAACCAGCAATCTTTTTAAAAAAAATGAAACAGAGAAAAAAGAAAGGAACCGACTAACAAAACTAATTAGGCTAAATTCATCGTTAAGTTAGTCATGCAAAACAGAATTAATGGAAGAGATTAACACATAATGAAAACACACAGAACTGAAACAATGAAAAAGACTTAATCAAACATGTGGAGGACAAGATGCACAAAACAAACAGAAAGCAGAAAAAGGAAAGAAGAACGGAAAGATACCTAGATTAGACGGGCCAAAAACTTGAACCAAATCTAGGCGAACCTTTGATTTTTTGACCGAAGTGGACCTTAAACCTGTGTTTTCATGTGAAAACACATGCATAAGGTCCAGTATGGTCTCAAAATCTCAAAAGACCTGTCGAGTTTGAGATCGTGAAATTAAGGCTTTTCTTTGATTCAAGATTCGAACCGCTGGAGTGGGATTTGAGGGAAACCAAATGGGGATTTGGGATGAGGGTGAGAAGGGAGTTCAGGGGTGTGATTTTTGGGGCGATTTGGGAAAAATTAGGTTTTTGGTCTAACTTTCAATTGAAGATTCGATGAGTTCCACGGTGATTCGAGGAAAACCAACGACGGATTCGACATAAGGGGAGGAAGAGGGTGTTATGGTGTGAATCTGGTGTGGATTTGAGGTGGCACCGCCACCAATGGCGGTGGGAATCCGCCGGCGGCTTCTAGGGTTTTCAGTGGTTAGAGTCTCTGAAAGAGACGATGAGGGGGGGGGGGGGGTAAGGAGTCTTCGGACACTTTTATATGAAGGGACCCCAAGTTCCTGGCCGTTAGATCATGAAACCTCGACGGCCAGGATTGAGCAAGGGAAAACAGGGTCGTTTTGTGACTGGGGGAAGGAGACGGATCGGGTTGTGGTGTGGATTTGGGTCGGTTCGGCAGATTGGGGCGTTTTGGTTTGGGCTGGGAGGTAGTGAATTGGGCATTGGGCTTGGGAGTTTTGAATTAAGATGGCCCAAAGAATTACTCCTTATTAATAAGACCAATTTCTCTTCATGTTCTTTTCTTTTCTTTCTTTTTGTATTTTCAGATTTTGCTAAATAAAAACAAACCTAAATCAATCCCTAATCAAATTATCCTATCAAGTTAAATTAATTACTACATCAAATACTTATTACACCTAATTAAAAACCAAATTAAAGAGGAATGCCAAAATTCCAAACTAAAATTAAAGTGTGGAAGTAAACTATTTTTGTGTGATTTTCCTTTTGTAAAATAAACTAATTACTCAATCAATCCTTAAATGCCAAATTAAATCTTAAAAGCGAATGCACATATATTTTTGTATTTTTCATTAATTAAAATGCACAGACAAAATGCAAATAATTAACAGAAAATGTCACAAAAATCCACAAAATTGCAAACACTAAAAGAAATCATTTTGTTTTGAATTTATGGGAGTAATTCATATAGGGCAAAAATCACGTGCTCACAACGCTATACTCATTTAAATTGCTGTTACGTCAGTTAAATTATTGGTGGGTCCATAATCAGGGTATAGCGTTTTGTTTTTGGACGCTATAGGTATAGCGTATGAAATGAAGACGCTATGCAGTCACGTCAAATCGTCAGGCAGTATAGCATCTAAATACAAGACGCTATACCTTAACGGCAAAAGTTACCGTTAAGGTATAGCGTCTTGTATTTAGACGCTATACATAGAAAGGTAACTTTTTTTTCCACTTATTAATGTACTTTGAGTCCAAAAACACAATATTTAGGTTCCGGACTCATGTTAATCTACTACCTACTCCTCTTCCTATACAAACAAGATCTAGAGATTAGTAATACAAAAGGAAAAGAATTTTAAAAGGACACTTGGACAATAATGCAACTGCACAAAAGCACCAACTCCCAAAAACTTCAATTAATTGTCTTTGTTCCTTACTGATCGGTCCACAAAATGGCCTACGCCCCCACCCCCCCCCCCACCCCCCCTCCCACTACCTCCCCGTACATTTGACATTAATAATGTGGTCCTCCACTTGTGTCTTTATCATAATTTCACCCTTTTGGTACTGGAAAATCTACGTATTGTTGGGAAAGACCACTGTAAATTTGAGTAATTCAACTATGCAAATGTCGCAGTCATTTTCATTTTGCTTTTTGCAGAAACTTTTACCACTATTGTGTTAGCATTAAAATGATGGTTGAAGAGAAGAAGTGTTCTTGGCAAGTCATTTGTAGCTTTGGTGATACAAAGGTAGGAAAATCAAGTTATGGACTTCTCTTCAAGTTTTCAACCATCATTTTGACTCTAACATAATTGAATTCTTTTAAGTATGTATATATAT